GCGGGGAGAGTCACTTCTACTTCTCACTGCCAAAAGCTGAGTCTGGGAACCTCGGACAAGGAAGGAAGATTTAGTAAAGAATAAGGTGGGAAGTAGAAAACAATACAGATCCTGCGATGCCTCCGGGGACCATGCAACTTGCCGGCTCAGGACACTAGCCCCAGCCCCACCACGCTCCGGGGGCTGCGTGACCTCACTTACCTTAATGATGCTGCTGCGCCTGGGGGTAGCCCGCACAGCCTCCAGGAGGCTGGCCTCGCTGTCTGCCGGGGCCCCAGAGGCGCCCAGCAGTACGACTCCGCTACGATGGTCTCTGGACCGGCCCGTAGCGCCCATCGTCAAGCAGTCCCCAGAAACGACGTCGGGGCCCAAGCGAGGGTCGTCTTCGCCCCCCGTCTCGTTGGGCGGCGCCGGACCCTCCCTGCCAGCCGCGCCCTCGGCCATGGCGGGGTGTGTGACCGGCTCCCGGGGGGCAGATGGCACACCCGGCGGTGGAGTCCAGCCGCCCGGCAGCGGCGCGCTCATGCACCGGGAGGTGGCCCCGCCAGACTTTGTTTCAACGCCCGGAGGTGGCAGCGGCGGCAACTTTCTGGAAAGGAGTCATCGCTCGGGTGGAGACGTCCTCGGGCTTTGGTCCAGGAGGCCGGCAGTCCAGCGTGGGGGACGGCCAAGGGGTGAGGAGGGGATGTGAGCAGAAGACAGAAGGAGCGGCGAACAGTAGAGGGAGGTGTCCGAAATGTGATGTAAACGCCTACTCAGCGCCGAACAAAAGGCACGGGCGCCTGGCCGCGCGACCTCCAGAGTCAGGACGCGCGCGGCGGGAGAGTGACCGGAGCCAGGCGACCGCAGCCCGGCTTATCAGCCACCTGCCCGTGGACAGCGGCGTCACGGCCCTAGGAAATGAGGCGGCGACGGCTTCCACTCAGCTCTGTTGTGACAGGGAGGGAGACTTGTTTTGACAGCCCGTGGGGATTGGCAGGCGTTTGGGCCTCTTAGGAGCTGAGCCTAGCCGAGGAGGGGGTCGGCTCGACCAATCCCCACTGCGGAAGGGTGTGCCAGAGCGCGAAGAATGGAATGTGTTCTGAACAGAGTGCTGGCCCCGCTGGGCTCGTGTACTAGGGCGAGGGTGTGTGTACGCGCGCGCGCGCGCGAGGGTGTAAGCACCCGCAGGCACCCCGTGTATATTTTAGGGAGTTCAGATATTCTAAATGAGCCTGAAGATGCAACTAAATCTGCAGGGAGGAAGACCTTTGTTTGCAAATCAAAGCAATTTTGAGGAAAGACTGTACTGATGTCAAAGCGTTTGGAGTGAGTGCAGCTTCGCCATGTCAGAGGTTAATTGAAGGATCTTACTCCAACCCTTAGAAGTCAAGTCCAAGCAAAGTAGGAATGACTGGGACACTGGAATTGAATAATTTGCTTCAGGTTCCATGAAAGGATTCTCAGCTTACTCTGCGATGTTAATAAATACAATGAAAGAGGGTCAGATGAAAGAGGTGAAGGAAATGGGAAACTGAACCAGCTCAATCCGTCTGGAGAGTGACTCCTAACAAAGCAGATGGTAGAAGTGTTTACTAAGTACAAGAAAGGGACTATAGGGGAACTTTGTCCCTATCATGAAGTCCTTGTATGGCGCTATAAAATAAGGACTGGACCTCAAGGTCGGTTTGAACTGCAAGGTCGGTAGTTCAAACCCACCAATCGCTTCTTGGAAACCCTTTATCGGGCCGTTTTGAGACCGAACCAACTCTACAGCACTAAGCAACAACAGTCCCTATCTTAAAGTAGCCCTATTTGACAGGGAGCCCTGGTGTGGCGCTGTGGGTTAATGCGCCAGACTGCAAAGCTTTTTGAACTGCAAGGACGGCGGTTCAAGCTCACCAACTGCTCCTCGGAAACCCCATACAGGGTCGCTGTGGGTCAGGACCGACTTGAAACCCTATACAGGGTCGCTATGGGTCAGAACCGACTCGACGGCACTTCACAACAACAAATTTGACAATAGTCTAACCTCCTTCTGTAACTAATCCTATTAAAAACACACACACATTTTGCTCATTCCAATGAGGCTAGCAACTGAATGTAGATATATCTTTGGATTGTGCATTGTTGTTAAGCGCCGTTGAGTTGATTCCAACTCATAGCGACCCTGTATATAGGGTTTCCTCGGAGGGGCAATTGAGTTTGAACCGACGACCTTGAAGTTCAAACCGACATTGCAGTCGGTAGCTTATCTTAAAGCACCACACAGTCACTGAAATTATTGCTTTGAGACCTGGTCTCTGACTCTAGAAGCAGCCCCAGAAGTCTGGGTCCATTCAGAGCTGCCTTTCAGAAATGGGCCCTGAGTTTCATATGTACCAGAGCTGCCTTGGCAAAAGAGGAGAGAAAACTTAGTGTTTTTATTTAAAGGTATTTTGATACTCAAATATATATCAAACCTTATTTGCTATAATTTGCATTTTTATTTTAATTAATAATTTGATATTTTAGTTGCTTCTTCATTTTGACCAAGAGTATGGAAATGTTTCCACTGATTTAAACTCAGAATTTATTACAATTTCAGAATTTTAAATGTGAAAGGGATTAGAGATTATTTAGGACAGCCATTTTGTTTTACAGATGAGATGAAGATTCAGAAGAACCTAATTTCTTGTCTCCTAGTTTAGCACAGGAAGCAGTATAGTGGGTACGAGTTGGGCTGCTAACCTCAAGGTCAACAGTTCCAACCTACTAGCCGTTCCTAGAGAGAAAGATGAGGCTTTCTAATCCAGTAAAGATTTACAGCCTCAAAAATCCTATATAGGGTTGCTATGAGTTGGAACTGACTAGACAGAATCAGCATAGGAGCTGAAATTAGAAGCTGCCACTCAATTCCTCCAATAATCTGTTCACTATTTTGCTCATCTCCAGGATGCACCACTCAGAACTGATTGGGGTTCTTAAGACAAGTCAAATTCAAGGTTCCTCAGCTTCTAGAGAAGACTGGGAAGGCTTGACTTCGGTTTTTTTCTTTCAATACATAAATGCAGTGCATGTAATTTAGTGTAGATTGGTGACCTCTGGTTTTAAAGCCAACACCACCCTCTAGCGAGATTTTCGGAACTACAATAAAAGATTCTTTTAGTAGTAAATGCGCTTGGGGGTGCAGGGATTGAGGGCATATGGTGAGGGAGGGCTGGTGTATAAAAGATGTAGGAAATGCAATTAAATTTTCCTTTTAAACCCTATTCTAATGCAATGTCTGCCTTTATAACTTGCGGAGTAAAGGAAGTAAAAGGGTGCCTTAGATTAAGACAACAATTGATAAGTGCTTTTGAGTTGGTTCTGACTCATAAGAACCCTGTATAGAGTTTCCTAGAAGCAGCTGCTGGGTTTGAAATGCCAGCCTTTCAGTTATCAGTCCAGTGCTTTTCCTACATATACTTAATCCCCATTCCCTCAGAGAATCTCTCCTATTTTGCACAGGGAATCAGTGCTAGGCTCCTAAAGGAAGTCAGTGGCTTGGACCCAGCAGTTGCTCTTTGGGAGAAAGATGTGGCATCTGCTTCTGTGAAGATTTGCAGTTTATGGGGACAGTTCTACTTTGTCCTATAGGGTTATTATGAGTAGAAATGGACTTGAAGACTAAAGGTTTAGTTTTTTTTAGTTTATATTGTTAGTGTTGTTTTGATACACACAACTATAACATATTTTACACTGCTAAGCTGGGTTATAAGGAGCTCTGGTAGCGTAGTGGTTACGAATCGGGCTGCGAATCTTAAGGCCAGCAGTTTGAAACCACCAGCCGCTCCACGGGAGAAAGATGAGGCGTTCTGCTCCCGTAAAGATTTACAGCCTCGGAAACCCTGTACAGGGTCTTTATGAGTCGGAACCGACTCCACGGCACATAACAACAACAACAACAAGCTGGGTTATATGAAGAAATATGTGCCATCTGGATTGGAGGAAGACTCATTAACAACCTGCAATATGCAGATGATACAACCTTGCTTGCTTAAAGTGAAAAGGACTTAAAATATTTACTGATGAAGATCAAAGACACAACCTTAGGTATGGATTACATCTCAATGTAAAGAAAACAAAAATCCTCACCACTGGACCAATAAACAGCATTCTTATAAAGGGAGAAAAGATTGAAGTTGTCAAGGACTTCATTCTTCTTGGATCAAACATCAACACTCATGGAAGCAGCAGTCAAGAAATCAAACGACATATTGCATTAGGCAAATCTGCTGCACAAGACCTTTTTAAAGTGTTGAAGAGCAAAGATGTCAGCTGGAGGACCCAAGCTGACATCTTTTTCAATAACCTCATATGCATGCGAAAACTGGATAGTGAATAAGGAAGACCATAGAAGAACTGATGCTTTTGCGTTATGATGTTGGAGGAAAATATTGAAAGTGCCATGGGCTGCCAAAAGAACCAACAGATCTGTGTTGGAAGAAGTACAGCCAGAGTGCTCATTGGAGGCCAGGATGGCCAAACTTCATCTCTCATACTTCAGACATATTGTCAGGAGGCACCAGTCGCTGGAGAAGGATATCATGTTTGGTAAGGTTGAGGGTCAGAGAAAGAGGAAGACCCCCAGTGAGATGGATTGGCAAAGTGGCTGCATCAATTGGCTCAAGCACCGCAACTATTGTGAGGTTGGCCCAGGACCAGGCAGTGTTTCATTCTGTTGTGCATAGGGTCAGTACCGACCCAATGGCACCTAACAACAACAACATGATGTTGTTGTTGTTATTGTTGTTGTTAAGTGTCATTGAGTAGATTCTGGCTCACAGTGACCTTGTTTCTGAGGAGCATCTAGTGGGTTTGAACTGCCAACTTGTGGTTTGTAGTTCCATGCTGATCCTACCAGCACCACACCAAGAGTCCAGAAACTCTAATTCAACTGTTACTCCATCTGACTCCTGTTTTTCACTGTTGCTTTCTATGCCTCATTTTTCTGCTATCCTATTAGCTTCTGCAATAAAAAAGTCCCATTCTTGGATTGTCCATTAAGAAATGAAAAAATGCAATTATCTCACTCATTATCTTGTTCTACAATATTATTATCATCTACAAGGAGTCCATGTGTGATGCTGTGACACTGCAGGATAATGCACTGGACCACAAGGTTGATTTGAACCATAGGTCAGCTGTTCAGACTAACCAACCACTCCTTAGAAACCCTAGATTGAGTCACAATGAGTAGGAACCTACTCGACAGCACATAACAACACAAGGATTTGCCAGTCTACAGGTTTATGAGGTTGAATAAAAAATTATACACACATTGAGCATGCATGCAAAATGATTCTGTCAAATAGATGAGTGACAGTAGATTATATGGCAAATTATTTGCAAATCAGCCATGTCTCTGCCTATAAAATAATCCACAACAGACTAGGGTTTCAAACAACTCATGGGTACCAAAATAACATATGGAAGAACATAAA